CATGTTTAACTCCTGTTTGAAGGGTTGAGGAAACAGAAAAAGGATTAAAGAGTAACCTGCTAGCCTAAGGAATAATCCAGTTCTTAAATCTCTGTGAATGTAGATGCATTTATTTTCCTGTGATTTCTGTATAAATATCTGGAGTGGAAGGTTGATCTAGCTTGTGAGGATATCTGGGTAACAGTTATTCAGCATTAAAAGGGAGGGGACAGAGGAGGGAGACAGATAGGGGGAAATTAAGGAAACTTAATAAAATTCTAGACACACAAATCCTAATGAGATAGCTGAGACAACAAAAACTACTAGAACTCATCCTGAATGTTCCCCAATGAAGCCTGGAAACTGCTGGGACAAGTGTTACACCTCTGCTAGCTGCTTGCTGCTGTGCTCTGCCTCCTACATTGCTCTGGGAAACCTCACACACTTAATGAGAATTAATGTGTGCTCTTTTTGCAGACAAGGTCAGGGAAGTCTGGTGCATGATACTGAACAAATAGAACCTGTGGGATCTGGTGGAGTAGCATTGATCTTTGAATGCCTGGCTTGTTCAGGCCTCAGTATAAGGTAAGGCATGAAGCTGCAGTAGGTTTTTTTGTTTTGTGCAAGAAAAACACTTTTGAAAGGCTAGCGGAAGAACAATACCAAGAGAGGTTCAAAAAGAGCAACACTATTCAGTGTCTAAGGATGGGACATAATGAATCTTCACAGGCTGTAAATCACATAGCTGGGAAGGAAAAAAATTATAACTGTAGGAAATTTCTACCTGAATATCAATGGTACATTCAAAAGCATTAGACAGAAATCCACCCCCAGAGTCCAGTGCCTTGAAAGACAAAAAATCAGCACTGTGGGCTACCGAAACTGGTAAATCACAGCTGCTAGGAGGTGACAGTGAGTACATGCATCTGCTCTTGCAAGCAGATTTATCTAATAGGATTATAGATGCTTTTCCACTGTGGCAGCCTCCCTTAAATAGCGTAATAGGTATTAGAATTTAAAATTATTGATGTCAGGTTTTTATGCTTAAAATGTTAGAGGAAAATATATCAACCTAGATCCACCAGCCTGGGAGAGGTAAGACTGCCACTGTTCCATGTCCCCAGGATCTAACAAGTAGAGAGGCTGCAGATGTCTTCCTAGCAGGCACATGCACAAACTCACTCATATATACAACATATATAGATATATACATATATGTGTATATATATTCATGGTCAGCCATATAGATAACAGACAGTCACTAAGAGCACTCACATAAACACAGACAGCATCAATGGCCTCATCCTACTCCCCTCTCTGGATGGACATAATGAAAGTGTAGTGGTGGGAATATACACATATATAGGCATTTACAAAATGGTTCCTCCAGTAGCTGGGCTCACTCAGTCTGCCCAGTAGCTGACCCTTGGGTCCCAGTCTCCCCAGTTGCTGGCATCTGGAGATATGAACCTCTGAGGCCACATCCCTACTCCAGCTGCTGGTACAGACTGTTGCAAATGCACACATATCTATCCAGGACTCTGCAGGTCCCAATAGCTGTCCCTGTTGTGCTCTCAGCCCTATAGACCCACAGGTGTCACACAACCAGAGCCCATTGGATTCCCCTGGTCCCATACCTTACCTCCTTGTGCTCTCTCACCCCTATAGATACATAGGTGCTGTCATTTTAAGTGCACCCTCAGCAAGTTTATAGATGACACCAATCTGAGTGTTGCGATTTATAAGCCTGAGGGAGAGGGTGCCATCCAGAGGGACTTGGGCAAGCTCAAGAAGTGAGCCCATATGAACCTCATGAGGTCCAACAAGGCTGAGTGCAAAGTCCTGCACCTGGGTCGGGGCAACCCCCGGTATCAATACAAGTGGGGGCCTGAGGGGATTGGGAGCAGCCCTCCGGAGAAGGACTTGGGGGTCCTGATGAATGAAAAGCTGGACATGAGCCAACAATGTGCATTCGCAGCCCAGAAGACCAGCCTTATCCTGGGTTGCATCAAAGAAGCTTGGCCAACAGGTCAAGGCAGGTGATTCTCCCCTTCTACTCTGCTCTGATGAGACCTCACATGGAGTACTGCATCCAGCTCTGGAGCCCTCAGTACAAGAAAAAAGTAGACCTGCTGGAGCAGGTCCAGTGGAGGGTCACAAAAATGATTAGGGGGCTGGAACACCTGAAGAGAGGCTGAAAGAGTTGGGGTTGTTCAGCTTGGAGAAGAGAAGGCTCAGGGGAGACTTTATTGCAGTTTCTTCAATACTTAAAGGGGACTTATAAGAAACATGGGGAACAGACTTTTTTATAGGGCCTGTAGAGATAGGACAAAGGGTACTAGTTTTAAGTTAAAAGAAGGGAGATTTAGACTAGTTATAGGAGGAAATTTTTTACAACGAGGGTGATGAATGTTCAGCTTGGAGAAGAGAAGGCTCAGGGGAGACTTTATTGCAGTTTCTTCAATACTTAAAGGGGACTTATAAGAAACATGGGGAACAGACTTTTTTATAGGGCCTGTAGAGATAGGACAAAGGGTACTAGTTTTAAGTTAAAAGAAGGGAGATTTAGACTAGTTATAGGAGGAAATTTTTTACAACGAGGGTGATGAAACACTGGAACAGGCTGCCCAGAGAGGTGGTAGAAGCCCCATCCCTGGAAACATTCAAGGTGAAGTTGGACTGGCCTCTGAGCAACCTGATCTAGTAGAAGATGTCCATGCTCACTTCAGGGAGGTAGGACTTGATGACCTTTAAAGGTCCCTTCCAACCCAAGCCATTCTATGATTCTATCATTCTATCATATCAAGAGCTGCCCTTAGAGACCTTCTTACTCCCTTCCTCACAGGCTACTTAATTACTCACTAGCTCATTTGGGTTGATTTTCCCTAGCCATCTGTACTGGGTTTGCATGGCAAGGTTTTGGTAGCAGGGAGGAGGAAGCATAGGGGTGGCTTCTGTGAGAAGCTGCCAGAGGCTTCCCCCAGGTCCGACACAGCCAATGCCACCGGCTCAAAGATGGACCTGCCACTGACCAAAGCTGAGCTAATCAGTAACAATGGTAATGCCTCTGTGATAAGAGAATTAAGGAAAAAAAAAA